CGAATCGCTGTCCTTGAAGAAAAAGATTATGCGAGTGTTTGAATCGAGATCATGCAGCTATAATGCCTATTACACCTACTTTCTTTGCAAAGTTTGTCGTATTTCAAATTTGAAATCAAACAAAAATCAAATAAGAATCCTGTAAACAAAAAAAAGATCCTACTAGAATATAAGTTATCCTAATGGTAAATGTTGTCCTATTAAGACAAGTGAAATCATATTGGAATCAAATTAGGATTCTTCCAAATTATTGTAGAAATCGGATTTAAGATTTATTTAAAACATAATAATAAAATAAAATGTATTAATAAAGTATTATTCATAATTATCATTTATATTATAATAAACAGTTTTAAAAAAGCACCAATGTCTAGGCTTTATAACACACTGTTCTGTTTCTCTGACTAAAGTACACAACATAGCTCTATATTCACTCATTCACAACAAAGCTACAAAACAAATGAGCACCAACAAACCCACACTACACATTTCCCTAACTTGTTTCATCATCCATCCCTGAGAGGCTTTTATTGACTATCATCTTTGTTGTTTGAAAACTAACATTTATAAGTCAAATTTCCCCAGTTTTCAGGATGATAGATTAAGGCTTGTTGTTTGCTCAGTCGGTACACAGAGACACAAGTTCAATGTAGAGTGGTACATTGTCAGACAATTTGTATACACAAGCAAGGTGTCTACCGCCTAAGTATCATTATTTCTGAAACAACGGCTGACACAAAATCAGATTTGCACCATCTCTGTGTAGCAGTTATTATCATTGAAAGTCTAGAATGCCCTCGTGTCCCTATGTTCCGTTGCCATGCCAACAGAGGCTCCGTTACCACACCAACAGAATCTCTGAGTGATGCTTCACTCTGAAAGACATTCCACACTGTCCTCATCCCTCTGGTCCCTGTCAATCAGTGTCAAGCTTGATTGACAGCTGCTTCGACCCCACTGACGTGGGTAAAAAACGCTGTCACCTCACGTTAATCATCAGCGGCACATCTTAAGAGGGCGATACATCATCAGACGTTTTCAGATCGACTAACGACTTTCCTGTTTTCCCAGGATTGAGTCTAACGGCTATCAGGAGCGCCTGTAGAGCAGCTTGAGAAAAGAGAGCAAGAGAGTAAAAAGGCAGCTCGACCTCTCCGTCTGTTTCTCACCCTATTTTCTTACCCTCCATCTCTTTCTCAGTATTTATCGCTCTTACTCTCTCTTTCATTAACCCACTTAGCTGCAATGTCTGACCCAGACCACAGGCACATTACTCAAACTGGATCGAAGGCAGCACGACCAAGTGCAATTTGGGCGAATGCCTGCATGAAAACAAGACAATGGCAAGCTGAGTACCAGAAACGCACACATTCATTGAGACAACGGAAAATTAGAGCCCTGGAAGAAGAAATAGACATGTTGTTTAGGCTTTCGAGTAAGTGGGAGAAGATGGTAAAATGGCGATGAGAGAGAAAGCGAAAGAGAGCATATCAACTATTCAAGCTATTCAGAATACTTTATTACCATACTATTTTTAATATTGTTGCAGCTCATCGTTTGTAGGCTATTAGGGCTGGGACTGGGTATTCACACAAATTTCACAATTCAATTAGATTCAATTAGAGAAATTCACAAGCTTGCGATTCATTCAATTTTGATTTAATTTGATTCGATATCGATTCGTTTGGATGTACTGCACATGAGGTACGTTACATGGCAAATTTTCTCAAGGGAAAAAATAGCTCTCAAATGCTGTAAACTAGGAACCCTGTCAATAAATCATGAAAACGTTTCAATTTTCATGATGGATTTATTCAAACATGCATGAAATTTTAAAGAACATAAATGTAAAAATATGAAATAGTGCATATATTTAGCAAAATATTCCTCTCTATAGTTCATTTTTCTAGCAAACTATCGAGCTCTGTAATGTAATGTAGCATTACATAGTCATAGCATTTACGAAGCATTACGAAGTCACACTGTTTACAAACTGTTTCATTGACGTCTTTTCTTGGTTGAAACACTTTTTGAGCGATTAATGAGACATGATGTGGATTTCAGTAAGTTGTACTGTCTCTTTAAACATCTTCTGATGTTTATTTCGTGCTATAGCAGTGCGATCTGCCACGCCATATTGAAGAGCCCCAAAATGGTATTTATTGAATTTCGTAATAAACTTGACACAATTTTAAACGTGAAAGTTTGTTTCATATAAAAAGTAACAAAGCACAAACCCTAATGCGATTTATTGAATCAGAGGCGCAGTGGCGCACTACAAATATTTTTTCATTCATCAACTGAAAACATCATAGACTAAAAGAACGATTCTTGGGATTTAAGAATAGATATCATCGGTTCATCAAAATGAGAAGTGATAAATGAACGTAATGATTTTTTACTCTTTTATGACTCATTATTAAAGGGATAGTTCACCCAAAAATGAAAATGAAGTCATTAATTACTTCTTCTTCTCAGTTCAGAACGTCAGTTCTCGCGCATGCGTCCTGGAAATCTCTTGAACTCTCGTCTCAGGCCCACAAGGAAGCAATGGAATAGTCGAATAAAGTCGTTATTTTTGTATTTTTTCCGCACAAAAAGTATTCTCGTCGCTTGATAAACTTATAGTGGAGCCACTGTAGGCACATGAAATATTTAAACATTTTCTTCCATGACCTTCTGGGCCGTCAAGTTTCATTCCCTTAGGCAGCCTATGGGGGAGTGATCCACCTCTCAGGCTATGTTTACACGGAAACGATCTAAAGAGAAAACGCAAAAGTTATCACTTTTTTTCTCCGTTTAGACGAGCGTTATGGTTGGGAAATCCGCGTGCATATGGTGACGCAAAAGTGTGTGAAATTCGATGTCGTATGCACCCCAGGCGGCTAGGTGGCAATGTGAAGCACTGCCACACAACAACACCAATATCTTAGAATATTTTGTACAACTGCTGAAAAGACTCTTGTATGTTTTTCAGAGCTGCCAGGGCAATTTGAAGGTCCGACGTATGGAAATAATCTGACATGTTGGTTGTTATTTTCCTGTACTGGCGCATGCGTGTGACGTAAACGCGTACGCGACGAGAGCCACCGTGAGCAGATTTGCGTTTTTACCGTTTAGACGGGAACGCGACGGTGGAGCGTTTTTAAGATTTCCACTCTGGAGGGTGGTTTCACTTTTTTGCGTTTTTAAGTCCCCAAAACGCCGTTGCCGTGTAAACGAAAGGCACATCCGATAAAATATTTTTACGTTTTCACCCGGAATCGTTCTCGTGTAAACGGGGCCTCAGATTTAATCAAAAATATCTTAATTTGTGTTCCGAAGATGAACGAAGGTCTTACGGGGTTGGTACAGCATGAGGGTGAGTAATTAATGACTTCATTTTAACTATCCCTTTAAGTGAACTACCTAATTTTGTAACATTTTTCACAAATCTGATTTTGACAAAACAATAAATCAAGGTATCCAAGGACTGGTTGGATAGCATGGTTCATTTAGGCCCTGCTGGTAGATGTCCTAACTAACTACACCATTCGGTGGGCAAAAAAAAGCATCTTTCTTCATTGATAGTCATTCAATGATGGTGAAGACTACATTTATTTGATCAAAAAATACAGTAAAAACAGTAATAATATGAAATATTATTGCAATTTAAAATATCAGTTTTCTATTAATATATTATTCATTCCTGTGATGTCAAAGCTGAATTTTCAGCATCATTACTCCAATCTTCTTCGGTATGACATGAATCTTTCAGAAATCATTATAATATGATGATTTGCTGCTTCAAAACATTTATTATCATATCAATGTTGAAAACAAGTTGTGCTCCTTAATATATTTTATAATATATTTTTTCAGGATTATTTGATTAATAAAAAATCTTCAAATGATCAGATTTTATTTGAAATAGACATTTTTAACAATGTCCATTTCTAAAAGTCTTTACTGACACTTTGAAAAAAAAAAACATAAACAATGCATCCTTTAATGCACACACAGACCAGCAGCCACTGAATACTGAGACCCACACAGCATTTGATCACTGAATTTACAGAAATCTTTTCACTTTGAGGAAACACAAGTGCAACATTGCACATCTAATCAACTCCTGGCAAACACGTTCATTATTATTTGAATTATCACTCAGTGTGTCCTTCAAAACACATTCAAATGTACAAATTCACATAATTTCATATTTACATGCAATGCATGGATTCCCCAACTTTTTTGTCAGCTGAACCAGAAGTACCCCTGAGAATGTTAGGTCAATAATAAAATTGGTTACACTTTAGTTTAGGGTCCAATTCTCACTATTAACAAGTTGCTTATTAGCATGCTTATTACTAGGATATTGGCTGTTTATTAGTACTTATAAAGCACATATTAATGCCTTATTCTGCATGACCATATTCTACATCCTTTAATCCCACCAATACCTAAACTTAACAACTACCATACTAACTATAAATAAGCAGTAATTATGAGCTTACTGAGGCAAAAGTCATAGTCAATAGTGAAAATTGGACCCTAATTTAAAGTGTGGCCATAAAATTAAATCAATAATAAAATTAAGTTCATACCTCTGATGACATGCAGATAAACAAATGAAATATTTCATCTTTTTAAGAAGTGTTTTATTTTGATACACTCACGAACCCTCTGCAGTTCCATCATGAACCCTGGGAAACCCTGACATATTGTACTTAGAATAGATTTTCTTTCTCTTTTTATTTTTATATCAATAAGGTACAAGATTATTTTATTCACATCAATGTAATAAACGAGTTAGGTTAAAAGTAATCAAAAAGTAGTCACCTTAAATGTATAATGTAATGGATCATGTTACTAACTACTTTTTTTTTCATGTAATTTAGTATCATTGACCGACTACAATTTGAAAGTAATCTTCCCAGCACTGGTTGTTAGCTAGTATTCCATTATGAACATAGCCAGAGATAGCGTGGATAAACATTAGACAAGAAAGGTTTATCCCTTACCTTGAACATTGCCAGCCCAACTCCCATTCTCTCTCCTCAACTCCTGCATGATGATGTGAGCTGGGTCTTGTCTCTTCCTCTCATAGCCCTGGATGGAGGAGTGACTGACCGTTGAAGTAGTTTGAGGGATTGGTAAGAAAAAGTAGGACTGGTGTAGAGACCGTGGATGAAAGTGTTGGTCACTACTGTAAATCCAGGCAGGATGACTGAGCACAGGCAATTGTATATCAAATCAAAACTATTAAGAAAAGTCACTCAAGAAAAGTAAGAATGATGCCTGGCTCACAAAAGAAGACAAAATCAAAGACAAGTAAAACTTTAAATGCTTGAGCTATGCGAACGATGTTCAGTCACTCAAGAAAAGTTAAAAGTCTTATATCAAACCTAAGAAATGTACGTAAAATTTGAAATGAACCAGGACAAAGTCAGGCCTACAAAATGTGATATAAAATGAAAAAGGTGAAAAGAAGAAGATCAAATGTTTTTAAAAGTTCATTTTCATCTGTGAACAAGTCCACAAGCTCTGGAGTTGCTTGACGCCCAGCAGTGTCCAGTAGTGAGAGGGCCGGAGAAGCGACGTCTGGTCTTAAATTCTCATTGGTTCAAGTATCCATGAACGTCCTTCGCTGGGTCCTTCTCATGACACTATTGGAAGGGAAAAGAAGAGAACAGTATCTTAAGCACAGGTTGTCTGGCTAATAATGTTGAATAAAGATCAAACTTGATGATGATTTTGGAAAACTGAGTGACATTTTTCTTTTTTTTCCCCTTTTGTTATTTCTTTCAATTGATCTAATATACAGTGCTCAATACTTATTGGTTAACTGATATGTAAAAATATGTCAACTTCGAGCCATAGAAAGGACAGGCATGTTTCACAAACACACACAGTAACACACTTACAAATGTATACAAATACTTATGTGTGACATTTTTACCGTGTTACTTACCAGTCTAACTGTCCTGTGGCATTTCATCATTATTATTTGGGTAATGTTTACAAAAATGTGATACACAAGACAAGAGGGCGAGTGCAAGCATTCAAAAACGTAAGACAAGATGGTCGCCTTCCACTGATTTGTCCATTTCGCCCAATAATAGGCAAGTGAGATGCTTTTTTTTTTTTCTTTTTGATTGTTTGTTTTTCAAACAGTCCATACATAAGAAAAAAATGTGAGGGAGATGATGAATTTGAGATGTCTAAAGGAAAATTTCTAGCTGAAACTGAACTTTAATTGAGATTTCAAACTTGTCACTGAGAGGAAAACATAAGCATAGAAATAAAATATCAACATGAATGGAAAAAGGAGATGTTCAGATTTCCTTCCATCTTGAGTTGTGACACAACGTCACTTCTTGGATCACCCTCCCTTTCTCAGATTCATTTCAAATGAAATAAAAACCAAGAAAAAATAAAATACAACCCTGTTTGACTCCTGTTTGTAATATTTAGAGGTAAATATAGAATATATTACAAACAACAAAATCGAGAATATCAATCAGTCAATCAAAAAAAAAGCAGTTCTGAATTAAAATGTATAAAATGAAGTGCAAAATGATCATTCAAGGAGGATGGGGTATAAATAACTTACAGTGGGGAGTGAAAAGTTTCATCCTCTATTGAGAAGATTACAGTCATACAGCGGTCATGCACGACACCTAAAAACAGGGACCCTAAATGAATAGAGAAAATCAAGAGGTGGTGATAAGAAAAGAAGTGGAGGTGACAGCCTGTCCAAAAGGTGTTCGATGAACGGATAAAATGAGAGAAAAAGATGGCGAGTGACAGCAGAAAATTAAACACTCAATAAAACGAAGGAGTGACCATAACAGCGCAAATGGACTCGAGCTCACAGGCAGGTGAAACTGGGGGGAACGACTGCTGTACTGAACCCTAATCGATCTTTTGAGCAAATGCCAATTTATTGTTCACAATTCCGGTTTCATGTTTCAACAGCTCATCAGGAGGCTGTCGACAACTCAAATCACAAGTTCAAAATGTGTCCAAGAAGCACAAATTAAGCAGTCACGCCAACCTCACCCATCTCTGTCAAAGAATGGAAGCAGAACCTCATCTCAGAAATGTGTCTGCAATGATTTCTCAAAGAAAACAGAAGACACTGATGCTTGCACTGGACACTGGAGATGAATGGAGGATGTTTTAGACCGGGTAGCCCAAGACCAGATGTGTGTGAGTGTTTTAAGTGTGTGTATGTGTGAGAGTGTGTGTTACAAAAGAAAGAATGGCAGGAAACAAATGTCTTTCTTTCTGTTCATAAGTGAGAGTGGAAGATGGACAGAGTTGGAGAGGAGTAAAAAATGGGCGTGGAGAAGTGATATTTAATTTTTGACACCTGGCTGTCCATTAGTTTAATGCATGTGTGTATGTGTGTGTCGATGTGTGTTTTATGTACATGTAAAAAAAGAACACACAAGTACACACACACAGACAAACAGACCGGACAGACACTAAACGAGCCGTTAAACCTACCTAGAAGAATATTAAAGCATCCAGGGAAAAAAAGAGTGAAACGTGAGGGTAGATGGTGGAGGACAAAAGAACTGTTTAAAAAAGAGAGAAAGAAAAAGAAGAATTAAAAAAACTGATAAGGAGATGTGGAGATGGTTTTTTGAGTCTCTTTCGCAATTCTAACCAACTTTCATTCAGGGAGCGTCACACTTTTGAGATGAAGGGAGGGATGGAAGGAAGAGGGGATGATGGAAAGGAGGGACAGGTGAAGGAACGAAGGGGGACATAAATAGTCAAAAATTTGTGAAAGAGTTAAAAAAAAACTTGCCCCTTCTTTCTCTTCTCGCCTGTCTCGTCATAAATAGACAAAATTATACACCATATAGATGGAGAAATAGATCAGGAGGCAAATGATGGAGAGAGCGAACAAATGAAAAGATGATGTGCCCCCCAGCACCACGATGAGAAAGAAGAAGAAAACAAAACGAAAGAAAAAAACAAATACTCCAGTGGCTTCCGTTTTCCTTCCTTTCTTTTAAACAGGAAAGGCAGTCAGTTTGTTCCTGCTGTCCAGTTGTTGCTTTAGTTCATCTTTTTCTTTCTCTTTCCCTCTTTTTTCCTCTCCCTTTCTTTTGGCTTCTGAAGGAGTCCTCTGTTTGCAGTAAGTAATAGCCCTTTTCCACAGACAGCGACTGAGGCAGAACAGTAGGAAGAGGTGTAACGGTTGCGATGTCTGCCCAAGAATTCCACACAACGAGACTGCGCTCTCTTTCTCTCGCTCTCTCTCTCTCTCTCTCTCTCTCTCTCTCTCTCTCTCTCTCTCTCTCTCTCTCTCTCTCTCTCTCTCTCTCTCTCCTCCCTTACGGACAGAACACTGTTGAGTAGGAGTGAGGCAGAGGAAGCAGAATGAGAGGGGTCCCTCTACTGGATTACTGCAAAACTGAGAGAGAGGGAGAAAAAGAGGAAAAGCTAAGAATGTCTTCTCAATTCCAGTTCAAAGTAATAGAAATTAGTAGTAAAATTATTCAGTATAAATAAACAAAACATTTATTAAATACACAACATGGGGTATTTTGCAAAGCATGACATTAGATGATACTAATAATCATAATGATGGTACCAATAAAAGTTTGAAACAAATTTACTAATTATATATGCACTACAGTTCAAAAGTTTGAGGTTGGTAAGATTTTTGTATTGTTTTTAATGTCTCTTCTCACCAAGACTGCATTTATTTGATCAAAAACACAGTAAAACAGTAATATTGAGAAATAACGGTTTTCTATTGTAATGCATTTTAAAATGTAATTCATTCCTGTAATCAAAGCTGAATTTTCAGCATCATTACTCCAGTCTTCAGTGTCACATGATACTTCAGAAATCATTTGGATATGCTGATTTGCTGTTCAAGAAACATTTCTTATTATTATCATCCATGTAGGTAATATTTATGTTGAAAAGGTGATCATTTTTTTTCAGGATTCTTTGATGACCAGAGCGTTTAAATGAACCGCATTTATTTGAAATAGAAATCTTATGGAACATTACAAACATCTTTACTGTCATTTTTGATCAATTGAATGCATCCTTGCTGAATGAAAGTCAAATATATATATATATATATATATATATATATATATATACTATATATTATGTTTTAGTACACTAAATTAATTTTTGTTGGGTTGGACCTGGGTTGAAAAGCACCACATTTCAGCTCTAATTCTTATCAAAATCTTCACCAAACATAGAAACACATGATATGTATTCTACATATCAGTTAGGAAATAAGCTAAATTAGTCTAACTTATGTCATTATTATTGTTTTGTTCCAAAGAGAAATTAAATCTCTTTGTTGTGTGACTTTGTTGAATTTCCTTGAATTGCAATTCAATCAAATTCCTCTTTAACATCCGGTAATCAAATTAAAATTCCAACATGAGCCAATTCCTCATTCTAGATATGGCCCAGTCCTACTTAGGCACTGATTCTGTACCGGTGCACTACCACTCCATCTGTCATCGGTCTAGGTTTCTGTGTACATGTGGATGTCTGGTTCTCAGATGTCTGCTCTCTCAAGGGCTCACTCTCACTTTCTCTGGTTTCTTGGCTTGAACTACTGATCACTGTGCTTTTGATCCTCAGTTTCTTGGCACCTGTCTTCCACTCCTTTTTAAAACTCACACAGTCTGTCTGCCTGTTGCTCTCTCCCTCTGTTGATCATTTTGAAATAGACAAAAATAAAAGGAGAGTTAAAGAAGGGCCATGGAAATGGCGCAGTTTGGGCTTTCAATTTTTTAAAGATTTTTCTATATTTTCTATTGAAAAGGCTACTACTAAACTTGTTACCACCTCAGGCCCAAAGTATCAGGGTTGTAACTGAGATAAATAGATATTGGAGCACTATCTGGGGTGCACATCAATAAAAAAACACCAATCATAAATACTAGCCATAAAACACTACATAAAAAGCTATCAACCCTGTTTGGAATTCATGTAGCCTACCAACAATTTGAATAGAAAACTGAATCAATATTGGCAGTATCATTGCCATTATTTACAATAGGGACTGCAGAGACATGTCCCCACCAGTGTTGTCATGGATCATTTAAGCCAAACCGGTTTCACCATTTACCCCTATCTTTTAAGATAATAGAAACATACTCATGTTAAAGGTACACTATGTAACATTTGGCCCTCCTGTGGTAAAAAAAAATTGCATGCATTTTGGGGAAGAACATTGTTTTGGTTGTGCTTCGGCTGTGCGGATGAATATGACTCTTCACAATACTTTTCAATAAACTCTGAGAGCTACAAATGTCAATTTATCTGTTCAATAAAATACCTTACTCACCTGTCGAATAATAAAAACGGCATCTTTGCATCGCTCAAAATTGAAAATCCCTCAGTTCTCGCCAGAGTTTCCGCTAGAAAAAAATGGTGCCGGTCACGTTTTACGGACATTTTGATGATATGCCGGTCAAATATCGCCTCTTAATTAGTCAAGTTGAGGAAAACTGGAGGCAGGCTATGTAACTTAAAAAATGACATAATCAGGCCG